GGCTCGTGCGGGCGGTTTTGCTCACCGCGCAGGAGCCGCTCGTGACGGGGCGGCTGCGGAGCCGCGCGGCGCGGAAACTCGAGGAGGCGTTCTTTCGAACCCCCGCCGCCGCGCGGGATGCGGTGCTCACCCAGCTGGAGATTCAGCGGCTCGGGATCGGGCGCCATCGCGAGGTGATCGCCGCCGTCAACGCCTATCAGGCCCGCTGCATCGCGCAGAAGCTGCCGGGGATGTTTGGCTGGCTCGGACTGCGCCCGATCGTCCTCTTCCTTCATTGCCTCACCGCGGATTCGAATTACGTGACCTTCTTCTGGACGAGTGTGCAGTGCGTGGAGGCGTTCGCGGCGTTTCCGACGGTGCGGCACATCGAATCGGTGCTTTTCTCCATCGTGAATCGCATCCACGTCGCCTCGAATAAGATGCAGGAGGATCTGGAGACGCTCTCCGACACGAAGAGCTTTCCCATCCCGCTTCTGCGAAAGATGGAGAAGTCGCTGCACAACGTGCATGGCTTTCTCTCGGTGCTGATGCGTGTGCAGCTGGAATGCGAGAATGTGGCGCTGGATAGCGGGATGCCCAAGCTACCGCCCGTGATGGAGAAGATCCTGGAGGTGCTGAGCACCGCCTCAGAGGGATTGCTTAAGGTGTGGGCGGGCGTGATCGATCGGTTGCTGGAAAGCGGCCAGCCCGAGGTGGTGCGGAAATATTGCCTCACCACCATGCGAAACTTCAGCGCGGCCGTGGAGGACCTCACCAATGTGTCTGCGAAGGGCGAAAGCGACGAGCGCCTGACTGAAATTCTTGCCGTATGCGATGACTTTTACAATGGTATTTACTCCACGATTGTTGGAAAATAAACGGGAAGGACTTTTTTGTTGCTTCTTTCTATTCACTGATTAAACCAGATTCCTGAGCCCCATCGAGCCTGTTTGCCTTTTGATAAACGAAACTCCACCTTCATTCAAACACGATAGCGGCAACCTTTTCAAAAGTTCCGTTGCTATGAGCACCACGTTCCTCATTTTCCAATGGATTTTGCCATGTAGTCCTCTATAGTTAGTGGGGTGTAAGAGAGGGGCGGTGTTCATTATCAGGAAAAAAAAGGTTCTATGATATATCTAATGTCTTGAACAAGGTAGAGGATGTGTGATTTCTTTGAGTATCCGAATACAGTGGTATACGGGTATGTTTGAGGGCGTACACGCTCGTAGAGCGAATATATTGCTTTCATAGCTTTTCTTAATTGCATTTGCTATAGAAAACGAATGGAATGGGACCAAGGGGAAATGAGCACACAATGGGAATAATAAAGCGCGACATATTTTTCTCATGTTTCAATGGGTTCAGGCATTTTCTTCCTGTTTCTCATCTTATCCGTCCATTTTTTTTTTGGATGTATGGAATTTAGTTCCTTAAACCTTTAGCCATAGTCGATTCCTAAGTATATATATACACAACAATAATAGGTTTCTTATTTTTGCGAGTCGAGGTAAGCGCTTTTACTCATCACGAGTACCTTTGGGTTACTTTCCTTTTTTATTATTGCGTTAGGGAGACGTCGGATCTTTTTTTATTCCTGTTGGACCACAAGTTATTCAGTCATTCGCTAGTATTAACTTCGAGAAGCTGCGTGCACTCTTTCTCTCGCTTAAACAGTGAAAGATCAGAAGACTAAAACGACCGTCCTTTTCTGGGTAGTTTTAGAATCTGGCAGCTGCGCTTGTTTGTTGTTTATTTCCGGGTCGTGACCTATCTGCAGAGAGCTATATAATCTAGCAAGACGGTAGCCACCCTCCTACACGAATTGAATTACACTCTATGAAGGACACATCTGGCAATGGGGTGTTCGTGCAAAACATTAGCGCACACAAGGGCACACGCTTTGTGAACGTCCCATCCCTAGATAAAGAAATGCTTGCGAAGCAGAACGTGATTCTCGGGAACAATGACAAGCAATATTCCATACAAGACGCTTCTAACCTTCGCGAGGACGCCATGACGAATCTGGCCTCCCCGAACTCCACCGCGGGACTCCTGACCACGGAGAACAGCCCGTCCTTCCAGGCCTTCGTCCACCCGTCGAACCGACCCATCGTGATGGCGGTCACGAAGATGGAGCAGAGCTACATGCAGACCCGCCTGATGCTCCAGCAGTGCTCCCGCAACGTCCTGCTCGGGGTGCTGCTCTCGCTCGTGGATGAGTACCCCACCATCCTCGTCGAGCCGGTCCGCCAGCGTCTGGAGCAGCTCCTGACGAATCGCACGGGGGCCGGTGGGATCGCCACGGGGAACGGCCGCAGCGCGCAATCGCCAAACGGGAGTACGACGATGTGGTCGACTCCCCAGGCGATCCAAGGCGGCTCGCCGATGTTCACGGCCCCCACCCCGGCCCCCACCCCCACCCCGAGCCACCGTAAAAGCCGCGCCCATCGCAACAAGGAGGATGAGCAGGAGCTGTGCAGCGTGCACCACTGCCTGCGAGTGATGAAACACCTCCAGCTGAACCACGCCACGGGGCTGTACGAGTGCGTGCACGGCTTTCACTGCCTTGTGGACGGCCCGGTGGAGACGGGCCCGACGACGATGACGACGACGAACCCCGGCATTGGGAAGGAAACCCCCAACTCCGACGCCCTCACTCAAACCACCCCCTCATTGCCCTACACTTCCCCGACGCACCGGGAGGGGGAAGGAGGAGGGGGGCACCTGGGCTTCAACGCCCCTCCGGTGATGGAAATGATGGGGAATGGCGGGGTTGGCGTCGAGCCTCACCCTTTCGGCTGCACACCTTTGATGAAAGATTTCTCCCCTACTGCCGGCACCAACGCGCCGATGTTGATGGAGGACCAGGGGGATGGGGGGTTCCCGATCGAGGAGGACCCCGCCTTAGATGTCCACACGCTCGCCAACTTGCTGAAAAGTGTACGGGCGATGGAGAAGGATGAGTAACTGAACCTTGGCAATGGAAAATGAAGGTGAAGAGTAGGAGTGAGGAGGGAAATTTCGTTTAAAACAACCTGTAAAGGGAGGAGTGCCAGAAGTGCTCTTGCGACCGATATAAAGGCCTTACTTTTTCTTTGCCTCATTAAATATATTTTTATCTAGTTGCCCTAATTTCTTTTCTATGGCATACTTTACAAGGAATTGTAAAGAGTAACAATGTAAATGGTATAGAAAAGGATTAAATTCAAATATTTCCTTTGATGCTTAGCATTTTTATCCAAAAAATGAAGCCTAAATTACACTGAGTACTTTGTTTTTGAAAAAATGACGGTCTCCGGACCCATTGGTTGATTTTTTTTTTTTACTTGCAGTCCCAAAAAAATATTCAGGGAGAAGTTGTCTCCCTATTCCGTCTCCTAGGGCCTAATTATTTAAAACTGATTTTATAATTGAGTAGAGCTACCTTAAAAAAGGCCACGGTAATGGGACAGCAAATTAATAGTATTTCGTATTTTTCTATTCGTATGTCATACTTGTATATTTGTTTTTCGTAGTTCTCCCCTTTTGAGAGCACGGCATATTTTTCTTTAGGCTCAACAAAGAAGGCATGCGCGGTTATTTACAATACGCTTAGATGTATACGAAAAAATAATGCTAATAATTATAATAAAACTTCTTTATTATTAACATACTTATAATTTTTTGTTTTGTGATGAGATAGTTTTAAATGTAAACAGCCAGTCAGGCAACACTATTCAAGTCCTATAGTCATATATACACACCTAATATCCATATCTATGGATGTATTCACAATATTGAAATGTATATGCGATGTTACAATTAGTACAAATCACTCTTTTTTAAAAGAAATTTCTTACATTGAGCTTCTTTTCTTGCCTTTGTAATTTCCATATATTATTGTTCATGCGCTTGTAATACGAAAGTTATTAATATTTAACTAATCATATATTTATTTATATATATTTATATATTTGCAATGATTTTAAGGAGGAGAAAAAATCTGGGTACTTTTCTTCCGAACTTTTGCGGTTGTGCAAAAAAGAGCATCCTTGCCATCAAAGTAAAGGGCGGGTGGTGGTAATGGGAGATGGGGTATATTTACTTCCTTTTGTAACCAAATGTATTAACATTGGTGTCGTTGAGTACCCGAAACCATAAAATTTTCGAAAAAGAATTTGTCTAACGATGCTGCAATTGTTAAACACTTGCCTGATGAATATTGCTTAGGTAATCCTATTATACCGAGAGGGAAGTGCTAACATGCCAACATTACACCATCACAATTATATGAATGTGTATAGAAAGGGTATGCTGATATAGAACCACAATAATTTTTTAATTTCTTTTTTTGTGTGTATTTGCAGTATGTGCAGAAACTCCTTTAAAGTTATCTTCAGAATCGCTAAAGTGGTGGTTATTTCTGTCTCGTATGTTTTTTACCAGTCATTATTATTTTTCCTGCATAATTTTACGGTCTGCGCGTTTCATTTACAAAAAGGCAATGTCGTCTTTTGTTTTTGAGATTTATTTTGTCTATAGCAAAATATTTTTCTTGCATGAATTCTAGTGGTTTATATTTTTTCCATTTCTTTAATATTGTACTTCAAGGTCGGGAGCCAGTTTGGATATAAAATATAAAAATATATTTTCGCATTGGATGTTTCTTCCTTTTGCTTATCTTTAGAGCATTTACTTTGCATCCAATCGTTGATTGACAGAGCAATTACCCTGATTTGGAGTATAAACGTCCTAACTGCATGCATCAAGACTTTTATTTTTGAAGAATTCGTGAGGAAAAAGCTGTGGTTTCCTACGTTCCTAATGTTGTGGTCTGTCAGATGGGTTATTTTAGCGAGCGTTTGACGCTTATGAAGGTTTTCAAAAATGAAAAGCCATTAACTAAAATAAAAAAGACATTATTCATGGCTTACTTGGACATTCTTTTTTAAAAGGTTTCCACCGTGACTTTTTCTAATCATATGGCAGGCTGGATATTATTTATTGATTATGACTCTTTTTTTTCCTGTTCTATCTTTAATTTATGCTTTATTTTCTTTTATGCTGTTACAGTTGGCTTCTTTTTATATTTAAAAAATAAACGTACACTTTCAAGGGAAAGGGCTTCCTTCTCCCTCACCCTTCTCCCCCTTTCCCCTTTAGATATCCCCACGGGATTATTCAATCCAAAGTAACGAACTACCAACGCTAGATTTTTCTTTTCTGTTGCAGTTCTTCCTTATTATCATTATTCAAACAAATCAAAGGCACACCCCATCGTCCCCTTTCCCTTTTTCTTTCCCTTTCCCCTGCGTGTACGCGGCCCGATGTCTAGTGAACCCACGGTGCTGCACCGCTACCCGGGCGCCCTCGCCCTTCCTACGGCGGACCCTCAGGCCTTAGCGATTGAAACCGCGCTGCGGTTTCTGCAGCTCCGCTACGTCGTGAAGGACGCGGCGATGCGGGAGCTGCGTATGGTGATTCCTGCCGACCCCATGACGGATTCGACGTCGCCCGCCGTCTGCCGCGGCTTCCCCGCCTGCTTCCGCCACCTCGCCGCGCTCACCGACACCGACGTCGTGCAGAGCGATCACAAACACGTCGTCGCCTGTGTTGAGTGGATCGCGACGAAGTGCCTCTTCCCCGCCTTCACCTTCCTCATACACTTCGAGCCGAACCTCTTCCATTACGGGGTGCGAAAGGCCGTCGTGCCGAGGGTCGCGGGGATTTGGGAGCGCCTCTGCGGCGCCTTTCAGCGAAACGTCCTGCGCTCGAACGTCTACTCCTACGCGTGCGGAACGGCAACGACGCCGCATGGACCCCCGCTTTCCGCGGCGGGGATTCGCCAGGTCAAGGAGGTGCTCGAGGAGGTTGAGAAGGCCTTCCGCGCGTTGGAGCTGCTCCACCTTTCCTACGCGCAGACGGACGAGACGTTCTTCTTCGGGACGCTTTCCCCGTGCAGCACGGACGCCTACGTCTACGCAGGGGTGTCGTGCTTTCTGCACGCGGACTTCGGTGGGCCCCACGGCTCCCCGCATCTCGTCGCTTTTCAGACCACCGTCAAGGAGGAATGCTCGCACCTCGTGCGGTACGTGGAGTGGATGCGGCAGATGTATTATGAGGGGTATAGCGCGAAGTATGGCCTTAAACAGCCGGATGGGTTTGGAATCGCGGAGATGGAGGCCGCGGCGGCGGAGGACCTTTATTCTAGGGGGCGCTCCAAAGTCCTATTGATGACCGGCATGTTTGCCTTTGTCTATTTTATCTTTGCAAACTCCAATCTAATTGCGCTTTTCCTGGAGGGAATACTGTCTGGCGACTCAGATGACATGACGGCCACCGAGTCTAGGGATGAAAAGCTGAAGGAGGAAGACATTTCTTAATCCTCTTTTTCAAAAATAGTAGTCAATGTTCTTAAAAACGTATATGATTTTAACCGTTATGCATCGAAAGTTCGACGTTTTATTTCGTATTACTTTTTTTTCAGTATATTTTTCGATGACATAAACGGTTTGAGGGTTTGATATTGTAAATAACGCTTATTTGGAATGCATAGGGTTTTTCTCTCTGTACGTGTAGCAAAATGAAGAGGGAAATTATATTGGGCCTCGGGAACAGCTCAAATGGAGACCACTTTTTCTTTTCCCTACAAAATGTATGTTATTAAATTCTTCCTATCGTGCACAAAACAAACTCGTTGCTATAATCCGATTTTTCTCCTTCCATCCTTGGTTTATTATCAATATTAATGAATTCCTTCCTTTGAATAGTGAATAATAGCTCCTTTTGTAAAACATCCGAACGAGAGGGAAACATTTATTTGGAAAGGAAAAGTTTAGGTGTAGGTTAGGCGTTAACGTTATCTTTTGTTTTCTTCTTTAGGAAGGGAAGTTCTCTTCCTGTTGTTTCTTTGTTGCCCTTTAATTAAGATCTTTTTGATATCGCGATGCAGGGAACGTGGAACCTGTTTAAGACGAACTATCCAAATATCTCACCGGGGCTCCGTGTTTTTGTGCGCCAGTCCGTTGATGCGTTCAAGACGTGGAGGAAAATTTACCATCGTGGCCGCCAGTATGGCCCAACGGACTATGTAGAGCAGGCGGAGGTGTATTCACCGGACTACTGGAAGCGCGGCATCTCACAGGAGAAGAATGTGTGGGTGGATATGAAGCTTAGCGAGGAGGTCTCGCAGAAGGAGCTAGCGCAGCTGATTCGGTGCAAGTTGGACGCCTGGCGCGTTGCCCACGTTTGCGCGGCGCCCCTTCTCATAGGTGGATATGCCCTGCCGCTGGCGGTGCTCTGGCTTTCAAGCTACACGTGGGTGCCCTATTCCTTTTGTCTGACGGAGGAGGAAAAGAAGGAGTGGTACGAAGCGCAGGACCTCTACCGCTACCGCAGCATCCCGTCCTTCCTGGCGGATACGAAATGGTATTTTGACTTCCACGCATACCCTTTCAACGCTGTCCATGAGCGCGCTTGGGAGGAGCTTTTCGAGAAGAACAATGTGCGCCGCGACCCCAAGGTGGTGCGGCCGGCAGCTGAGATGTACGAAGGATTCATTCGTTTCGATTGGATCCGACGTAAGTCCCTACGCCACCTCGCGCGCAGCATGAATCTCCCAACCTTTCCCATGCTCACTCGGATGTGTGCCATGACGCGCATACGGGACTATTGGAACTTGATTTGGAATGAGGACTACATGGTTATCACCCAGGAGCTTCATAAGACGATGTCCCGTGACGAGCTCTACGAGTTCGCCTGGCGTCGATTCCTCGCGCCGTATGACAAAAACCTTTCACAAGCTCAGTTGATCGAGCGAGTAAACGACTACTTTGAGTTCTTGGGCCCTGACTTCGTGAAGGAGGGAAAAACTCCCAATCTCATTGTTCTGTCCTGCTACGTTTTTGGCTACTACAACGATCCCGCGTATCTAGTTGAGGATATCAGTGATCTTGAGAAGAACGACTTTCAGTATATGTCTGGCCTCGCTAAGGACGCTTTCATGCGTCGCTTGGAGTTCGAAAACGGCCCCCTCCGTGATCAGGTAGAGGTGCACACGCAAAAGCTTTTGGCTGAACGCGCTGCTGCGGCTGCCAAGGGGTTGAACAGCAAAGAAGTCGAAGCATAAAAAAAAAGAGTTTAGATAGGGGTGGGAAGGGGGGTGGGTAAACTTACAGAATACGGAAACGGTAAGCATATCGACTAACAGAGGAAAGAAAGAGCGGATAATGTATTCTTTTCAAGTGTTTCTGTTTCTCTTCCTTTTTCTGACCCATCTTACCCTCATTATACACACAACTATCCCCTGAAAGGGTTTACCTAAGAACGATTGTGTACTCCTTACTAAAGTGAAGGGAGGGGTGCTGAGTTTATCAAACAACTACCCTCAGTTGTGTAGTGTCTCATTTTTTTAAACTTTTATTTATTTGTTGATTTTACCTTAGCTTGATTTTTATGGATGCATAGCAGTAGGAAGATTAACCTCGTATCGGAAGGGTGGGGGATTACAACGAATGATCGGGGTGCCATTTTGCACGCTTTCACCTTTGTGTGTGTGTGCGTGGTGTTTGTGTTTCATTACCATCCCCGGCTTATCAGTATGCATTTTGCATCACGACAGTTAGCAGGTTTAGAATAGCGGAAAATAATGAAGAGAGGGGCCGTTAGTTAACGGGTATGTTCTGCAGTGAACTTGAATCTTATGTGTGGGTGGTAGTCGGTATATCTTTAATCCTCTGTCTACGTTATTTACCTCTTTTTTCACCTATCAATTTGCATGATTTTTTTTGGGGTGTTTTATGGGTTTGGGATCGGATTGCAACGACTGCCTGCGGTAGGTAACAAGATAACAACATACAAACTAAAAAAAATAGACTTAAGCGATAATTTTCCATTTCAATCAACCTCTCCGAAGTGTTTAATTGAATAATGAGCAGTGAACTCGCTGACTTTGACGGGGATGACGTGAAGAACACCGTTGTCTTGTCGCATCCGATTGGTGTGGGCATGGGCACCCATAGCGCCGTCGCCCTTGGTGGCTTCCAGGACTTCTGCCTCAAAAGTGAGCTCGCCAACGCCATCCGCGAGAACGGCTTCGAGCACCCCTCCGAGGTTCAGCATCAGGCGCTGCCGCAGGCGATGTTAGGCGCCGATATCCTCGCGCAGGCGAAGTCAGGCATGGGCAAGACCGCCGTCTTTGTCTTCGCGCTCCTAGAACAGATCGAAAAGGTGCCGGAGGGGCAAAAGTCGTTCTGCCAGGCGATCGTCCTGGTCCACGCCCGGGAGTTGGCGTACCAGATTGAGCAGGAGTTCAAGCGGTTCAACAAGTACCTACCCTACGCCACCACGGCAGTCTTCTTTGGGGGTGTTCTCGAGGACGAGAACATCAAGCAGCTGAAGCGCGCGGTGCCTGCGATCGCGGTGGGCACGCCCGGCCGCATGAAGGCGCTCATCCAACGTAAGGCGTTGGACGTGGCGCATGTAAAATGGTTTGTCGTGGATGAGTTCGATCGCTGCCTAGATGACATTAAGATGCGGCGCGACGTGCAGGAGATATTCATGAAGCTGCCGAAAGAGAAGCAGGTGATGATGTTTTCCGCGACCATGACGGATGAGATGCGCACGGTGGCCAAGAAGTTCATGAACAACCCGACTGAGATCTACGTGGATCAGCGTGCGAAGCTCACACTGCACGGTTTATCTCAATATTACATGAACCTGACCGAGGCCCAGAAGCTCCGCAGCCTTTGCGATATCCTCGATGCGGTCGAGTTCAATCAGGCCATCATTTTTACCTCGTCCGTCGAGCGTTGTGAGGGCCTCAACCGACAGCTGCAGATGCTGAAGTTTCCATCACAGGCGGTGCACTCGCGTATGGACCAGAAGGACCGCCTGAGAGTGTACGAAAGCTGTAAGACCAACCACACGCGTGTTATCGTCAGCACGGACCTCTTCGGCCGCGGCGTCGACATCGATCGCATCAACCTTGTCGTGCAGTTTGACATGGCTTCCGACGCCGACAGCTATCTCCATCGCGTCGGCCGCGCCGGCCGCTTCGGTACCAAGGGCCTCACCATCGCCTTCATCACAGCTGAGGAGAAGGAGATCAAGCGCGAGAACCGCAAGTACACGGATGCTGGCATCATGAAGGAGGTTCAGGACCGCTTCGAAATGCAGGTCAAGGAGCTCACTGATATCAAAGCCCAGCTCAACGAGAGCCAGTACATGAACCAGTAGCTGGATCAAGGAAACTGTGACACACCGTTTAGTAAATATTAAAGACAATGAAATTTTCCTGTGAGCTCTGTCGGCTTTATCTTTTATACTTATGTGTGGCTGAGTTAAGCTGATATCTCCACCAACACGCATGCGAATAGCAAGTATAGATTCTCTATTTTGGTTTCATATATAAATTTTTCGTACGCTTTTCGTTAAAAAAATCCATTTAATAGGAAAATCTGGAGTAGTCATTTTCCTATATGCTAACCATAATAGGTAAACTAATTTTCGAAAGATCTCCCGGGATAAAAGAGGATGGGATAAGTAGCAAGGTGAGGAAAAAGGAGATCAAGATCATGCACACATTCATTCCTATATTTGAGTAAGATTTAATATAATGTCGGAACTGATTGGAGGTGGGGTAAATCTCCTGAATAACGAAATGTTGTTGATGAAAGGAATGGAATCGGGTCCCAAAATAGATCGTCGATCGTGAATTTATCCTAGGCATTGAAGGCAGAATTCGTCTTTGACCAAGAGACTATCAGAAGGTCATGTAATCGGTATATGTTGATTTATTTCTTCTTGTTATTCTGCTTTTTTTTTAGAAGGGCCGCGGTTCCAGGGGCTATTTTCTCGAGAAGCACAATAATGGTATATTTTAGGTTTGGATTTTGATCTCTGGTTGATTCTTCACGCACAATGTCCTGTTTAAAAAGGTGTAAGCAGTTGTAAGAGGGGGGTAAACAACAATGATAAAAAAAAGAGTGCACGCTGGGCATGAGTGATTCTGAAATTCGTAAGAACTTGGGTCTCTAATCTTTCTACTTTCTACCACATGAACTTTATAGAATTCATAGTACCCCAAGCGTGTGTTGCTTCTGACAACTTTTAGTAAATAATATAGATACACTTATAAATTAGAGAGCATGTTTATTTACGGAAAAGATCAACAGGCCTTTCACCTCGAGCGAACTCAGGCGGAAAAATGGTTTTCCCGGGTCAACATTATTCTTCTAGCGATACAGCTGATTTGCTTCATTTCCTCGCTTGTTCGATTTGGCATTTATTCCTCGAACATAATATCGAACAGCTTTTTTTTTCGGGCGCAATTGCGTATAAACTATGATATCCTGGACAAGGATTGTGTGTTCCATGTGAAAGAATCGCTGGGCGTTTTCCGTAACCTGGAGTACGACGTGTCCGTTAAAAATTTGGGGTACATTATCGACCGAAATGCGTTAGATTTGCGCTACTTATGGGCGGTCACTGGTTTATGCTTTTTTTTGAGCGTAATTAACTTCGTTTGGTATGAAGTCAATGCGCATGAGGTGCGCTATCACTTTGTCGTATTTCATAAGGATATGATCACAACGTGGCAGGTGATCCTCTTGGTGATAGGTATAATCTTTACCTTTCCGGTACAACGACAAAACAAGCTTTTAGATGAATTTTATTTACACTGTGTTGAAATCCCTGCAGGTTATAAGATTCATTACAGTCCATTGGCGCCGCTATTTGAGTTTTATATATTCTACATAGCGAGTTTTGTGATACTAGCCTTTAACGGCCTGTTTGCAGTGGCTAATTTGTTGCGAAAGAACCCGCGTAAGGTCTTTCTACGCGAGGAGGCGGCGCAATTGGAGATGTGGAGGAAAAACATGCAGACACAGGGGCAGAGACCGCCGGATATGATGCCGTCTCAGGGGATGGCATCACACGATGGCATTGCCCCGTTGGCAGGGGACCATGCCGGCACCGCGCAAAGCACTGCCTCGCTCAACCGCCTCCCGCCTCACCCGCCATCCGTTCAGCACCTGAGCTCCGTACACGAGTATTATGGCGCTGGGGAGGATAAAAGTGGAAGCCTTACCGGGACTCATGATGGGTTGTTGTACTCAACAAACCTCAATATAAACCACTCTGGCGAAAAGCATGATGTTCCGGGGAAAAATGCTAGACCATCTGAGAAAATCCCGCGCATGCCCACCGCGGCTGATAGGAGTCAGGTAGAATCGCATCTTCTTGAGCAGCCACAGGACCCGCCAGCGCACCACCAATTACCCAAGGATAAGCCACCAGCCGCTCATCCAAACCGAGAGGGAGCGGCGGCTTCAAAGGCGGCAGTCCCCGATGAACTCTGCAAGGTGCTGAGCTTATATGAGGACCAGAACGATGTTGTTGTGGAGGATGATAAATTACAGGATACCATCTTGAGACGGCGCTCCCTTCCTACCTTCCAAAGCAATCGAGATAGCCATGATCGGGATATCGCTGAAGGGGAGAGGGATCTTTTTCACAATCCCCCATCGAGCGTGCCGCATTCGCCGCAGCCCCAGTATCCCGCTTCTGAGGCTGGGAAGAACTCTGGAGATGGTAGCGACATGACCAGAACTACCCACGAGCGCGGCTCCATCCATCACGGGTGAATCCAATCTTTCACACACACCAAAATCATATATTAACCTTGTGATCCCCCTTGCCCCTCCGCCTTCCCCGAATGCGGCGGGAAACAACGTGGCGGGTGCTCGTCGTACTCCTGAAAGGGAGGGTCATGGCATAAAATTATTACTCTAAGGGGAGTGGAGGGTGGCGGTAACCCTCTTTATTAGAATGCCAGATAATGAAACTCTTCTTTTTTCTGTTCCCATTTGATGGCTTATTTTTTGTGTCTCTATGCGTAGAAGTGTAAAAATATTTGCATTGTTATTTTCGTTACGTAGATAAAGAGTTTCGACTATTTTCTTCTTTGCCATAAACAATCAGGTCCGCGCTACTTTCCTCAGCGTGTTCCTAACCTTGAGATCCTATTCACCCTTACTGGGATGTTATACATGCGGGTGTTTGTTTACTGCTTGTTCTCGACTATCCGCTTTGCTTTTTGTATCTACCAGCAAAATAAGATTTTTTATGGATGTCCTATTCTCGGCAGTTTAGAGTGTTCACACGTACACACGCATAAGTCCATATGAACTTTTTTTCATATTTATTCATTCCCTCACTTCTTTTACCCTCCTAACTGTTTTATTATTATGTAACATCACGAAAAGGGACGTTCTTGTGGAACAGCAAAAAATCAGCTAGCATACACACGTAGTAGACCAGGTTAAATACTCATGTCCGCTCAGCCCGAGTACTTCCGCACCCATGCTGTGGATGCCACCATTCAACATGAGAAGGCCTACCAGCGCCAGACGGCCGTGAATGAGAACATTCACCGCCCTAACAAGAAGCACGTGAACGAGTCCGGCCACATCCGCTACTCCAAGAAGATCGGTCTCGGCTTCAAGACCCCCAAGCTGGCCAAGAACGGCAAGTACATCGACCGCAAGTGCCCCTTCACCGGAAACGTGGTGATCCGCGGCCGCATTCTCCGCGGCGTGGTCCACTCCACGAAGATGAAGCGCACCATCATCATCCGCCGCAACTACCTGCACTTCATCAAGAAGTACCAGCGTTACCAGAAGCGCCACAAGTCCCTCGCGGTGCACTGCAGCCCCGCCTTCGATCCGAAGCCCGGGGATGAGGTCATCGTCGGCCACTGCCGCCCGCTTAGCAAGACCGTTCGCTATAACGTTCTCGAGGTGGTCAGCAAGACGGCCGCGGATAAGCTTGGCAAGAAGTTCGCCAAGAACTGAGGAACCTGTGAAAGGTGGTATGAAGTCAGGATGCACAGATAGTCCCTAAATTCAATTTTTCATTTCTTACTAAAAAAAAAGAATACTGAGGAGACAGAAACCTACAGGGTGAGATAAATTCTTACGTGTTGAGCACAGATATGCATTTTAGAAGGGGATATGATAATGCAACCAAAACTTTTATCCTTTCTTTTACTTTTTTTCCTCGCCATCTTCGGGTCCCTGGTGTTCACGGTGTGGAGTTTCTTCAAAGGGAAAATATCCATAGGTTCGTTTTTGAAGTCAATAGGGCTAAATAAATCGTGGGAAAGGCGTGGGGGAACGAACCAGCCGGGCCGCTTAGCCTTTAACACTTCAAATCCTTTGATTTACAAAGCCCTCCTAAAAAAGAAAAGCGAGGCAAAACTTGCATCTCAAGGGGAGAACAGTAAAGCAAGTGCGCTTAGTTCACTACAGAATTGCACTCTAGAGGCTTCTTAGACGCTTTCATCATCTGCTCTCTGATTTTTATTTTTAGCTGGGAAGATGTGCGCGTGGCGTTATCAAACAACTGACTTTAGGAATAATGATAATTTTTTGCCTGAAAACGAGAATGCTTACGCTATGAATGGTGCATTCTTGGCGCAAAATGCCACTGCTGATATTCATTCAGCGTTTTTCCAGGCATCTGGTGGCTTACTAGGAGATGATATACCGGGATCTGACGAAGAGGGCGAGAGATACGATGAGGAAGATGAAAAACTTACGAGCCAACAGCGGAGCCACGGAGGCCCTTCCGCTTCGCCGCAGCCGCCCTCGCCTGGGAACTCCGCCTTTGGACTCCGACAGGTCTCATCCGAGCTATTTTCGGCGCCCTTTCTCAAAGACTTTGGTGGGAATCACGTTGAGGGAGACAATGACGACACCACAGCTGGGCGAAAGCCGATGGAGGCGGCATTGGCCCTCTCGAGGTGTCTGTTCAGAGGTACTGGGGACGGTGGGACGGGGGGAACCGTGGGGTCCGATGACGAGCGCAGCGACCTCTTATCTGAGGATCGCAACTTCGTACGGAACACTCGCGAGCTCTTTGAGGAGGTCGACCCGGAGCTGCTCTCCGAAAAATTCGCACCCCACACGCATGTGGTGGGGATCATCGTATCCGCGGACACCGGCGTCGATGCCACCCCTGCTGAGATTGAGGAGAGGGTCCTACCGTACAAAGACCTTAAGGATGAGATTGATCTTGATCTCGGTGAATACATTGAAGTCCACCACGATGAATTCAACAAGGCCATTTTCAACTTTTCGGAGATGATTCTCGCGGTGTCGGGCAGCGACGACACCCTTGCACGACTCAAGCAGGATCTTGCGCAGGCTGCCATGTCGTTAGACTCGCACGCCGAGCAGCTTCACGTGCTGAGGCTCCGGGTTGTGAAGTCGCTCCTGATGACAGAGACGCTGCAGCGCATTCAGGATGCGATCAACGTCGAGTCCGATGTGCGGAACTTAATTACGTCCAAGCACTACCTGCGCGCGGTGCAGCTTTGCATAATTCATTCAAAGGCATTGCAGGAAGAGCAGATGCAGCAGATTCGGGTCACGCAAGGCTTACGCGAGAACGTGGAAACCACCATGGCGACACTCCATACAATGATTATTGACGACTTGATAGACTGTGTGTTTCGAAAGAATCGGTTATCCAGGGCGAACACTGACCAGATACAGCGGATGATTCAGGAAAACGAGGATGTTAGCTACTCCGAGCGCGTTGTGGCTCCTGATTTGCAGTCCGCTATGCTGAAGTACTGGCAATCCGCGGGATTGGTTGATGCCGGGGAGGAATACAGGCCTACAGGGCGAAGCGGTGGAGACGGCATCGAAGCGAGAGCAAATAGCGCACGTGTGCCCAACGACGTTAAAGGAAATGCAGAGACGGTGAGCCCCGAGAGTTTTAGAAAGGATCGAAGTCTGAAGGATGTCGTAGAAAGCATTTCTGACAACCCAGATGATGACTCCTTGGTTCAGGACTACTTTAAGTTTATCCCGTTGTGCGTGAAGAGTCTTTTGCTGCTTGGGAAGATTGATAGCTGCCACGAGGCATTTTTCTCTCGGGCAACGAAGCGCATCGAGTGGTTTATTGCGCGTTTCCTCTTGCTTTACAACTCATGGAGACATAAACAGATCCGTAGTACCAACCTAGCGGGCAGCGATAGCACTGCCATCGTGCAAGCCACTACAGTGCAGGCGTTTAGCCTCACCAGCGACACCGTCTCGATGGAGGAGGCCATCGCGACGGTTCAGTCCCGCGACCTGCGCACCTTTCTTTGTACGTTGTTCACCGAGCTGGAGGAGTTTATGCGAAACGCGGACTACCTATATAAAATTATTCTAGTCGCGTATTACCCATTTGTTTCCGAGTTTATCACTCAGCCATCCCCGTTTGATGCGGAGAAGTGTAGCACACAGTGGAAATTATGGGAAGTCCCCCTCGATGAACATCTGGCTCAAGTCGGAAACATCATTAATGCCGCACTGAACAGCACTGAAGTTGATCTTAAAAAAGAGAAGCCAATTCAGTCCCCGTCTCCTGGTGATGAGGATAGTGCCTCACAAGGCCAAGCACAGATACAGAACGATAGGCTGGCGCTTTACCAGGTCAGGGAGTTTTTCACTTTAGAAAATCTCCTGAAAGCGAATGCCGTGTCTGAGTCAGCGAGTACTCAGGCCCCTTCTGCAGGTAGTCGTGGGGCTAATCTGCTCTCCACCGATCGGAGGCTTTGTTTGAGGGTTGTTTTAGAGTTCCTTAATACATGCATTGATGACGTTAAGGTCAGGTACCCCAACGAAAGCAGCGTGGAGGCACTCAAGCGAGCTCGTTCATCCCTTGCGGACAAGATAGCGGATGGCGTGCGCTGCATGTTCGTGGGGCTTGTCAACGATCTACGTCGTCAATGGGACCTCCAGGTCCTGTGGTCTCAGCTTAACTATCACATAGAACTTGTCTTTCGCGTTCTATGTGACGCGCAAGAGCTCAAAAATGGCGACGACGATAATATCTCCGTAATGTCGTCTCTTTCAAAACAGCGTAACCTCGCGAGCCGAGCGCAGCGCATCGCCGCGTCGCGAAAGGAGGGGGGGAGCCAAGGAGCGGATGATGCCAGCTTGGATCGCTTGCTGTCCACCTACCACTCCAACGGCGTGCTACGCATGACTGAGGAGGTCGGCATTATTTCGTTCAGTCTGGTGGATGCCGTCAAGCGAGCGCAGGCTGATAACATCAAGACAAGTAAAGTACAGTTGTTGCAATCCCAGGCGGTGCTGAACGACTCAGCCAACCCGTTAGCACTCATAGACGCGTGTGGCGGTGGCAGGGGGGGGGTGGCAGCGGAGGGTACCATACCCTCGGTGCTCTCACACGCATCTGTTCTGCAAAATTGGTTTGTTTTCACGGCAATGAATGTGCTTACATGCTACAGGTGTGCGTCGCAGTTCGTGAAACGCTGCTGTGATCGTGTTCCGGAGATTGGGTTACTCGGTCGCGATGAAAGCGTACTTAATTTTTTCAAGGACTTTCTCCGCATGACTTACATTCCTGCGTTATATGCCTTTCACTCCCAGAAACTGTTGCGGCTGTTTGCAGCGTTAGACACCACTGCGAAACAGTACGCTTCGAAACCACAGACCAAGGGCCCTGCATCGCCTTCACAGACTTCTGCCGCGTTGGCAATAAGTATTGAGTCCGAGAATGGCACCACTGGCGACAAACCACCTGTACAAAACACGGAGCGTTGCGCGGTGTGGCCAACGGTAAACACTGACGACGCTCCTTTTCCCCTGCTTGCATGTGTGCACTACGTCGGCAAGGTGATCCGAAAGGTGGCGGAGATTCGAGCCGTTCTTCCAACATCCCTGGCGGAGGCCGTCGAGCAAAGTGTCTCCGAGGCCTTCGTGGTGGAGTTGTCCGCATTCCTAATGCAGAAGCTGCAGTTGCTGGGGGTCGATACCATTCAGCATCATCTGATCAACACCGCATTTGAGCGTGCCTTCGCGGAGACGCCCGATCAGGTCTGGTCACTACTGTGTGATGAGGAGCGGCTTCATCACACGCACGACTACGTTGACCGGAATCTTTTCTTGTACTACCAATACAACAGCGCCCAGCGCACGAGTGGGCATGAATACAACGCCTCCACCTCCCCGCTCCTTGATGCCGTCCTCGAGTCTAAACCACTCGAGGACGGCGGTGCCTTTGATGAGCGGATCGGGCTCACCCCACCCAACAAGCTTTGCCTGGGCGATGACAGCTCCATTGTGGCGCTCGCGGCCACCTGCTTCTCGACGGAGTGGCTCTGCGAGGAGATGGCGAGGGGTCTCTGGCCTGCGGGTGGCCGTCTCCCGATCGACTCCGACGGCTGCGTGCCCGGGCATCGCTTCCGGGAGCTCCTCCAGGGAGCCGACCTCTCCCGCCTTCCGTCGGTTTCAGGGAAGGCGGCGGTGCAGCAGATGATCCGCCTGGCAGGCCACCTCACGCGGCTTTACACCCTCTCGCAACTATCTCTTTTTTTCCTTTCTATTGAGGCCCGGTTCATGGCGTTTTGCTTTCTTCCCCAGCTCCGCGATGAGTGCTACAGCTCTGCGGTGATCTCGGCCTCGGCGGACACCTTCGTCCAGGCGTACGCGCGTTCCATAAAGAACTTTTATGCCCGAATAAAGCAGTACTTGCCGTGGAAAAAGATTAAGTATACCTGCTTGACCTTGGCGAGGCCGGCGAGCGAGCTGGTGTTGTTGGAGATTGCACGCCTTCGGGATAAGCACATCTCGTCGGCGGGCCTCGCGCGTCTGAATACGAACCTTATTGTTCTTCAAGCGGCCTTTCAGCACATCTTACCCACCGACATCGATGTGCACGACGCGGTGGGCGGCTACTTATACCGCCCTGCCGTCTTCCTGCGCTATATTCGTACCCAAGATGTCGTCAATGAGCTTATCGCGACGGAGGACTACCGACACTTCACAACGACTGAGATCGAGGAGCTCATACGGTTGGTGTTTCGTCAAGCTGGCGGGGCGGGCGAGGACGAGTTCGCGCGCAGCCACATCTCCCTCTTCCACTCCAAACTAAGCGCACTTGAGACCTCGCAGAAGAAATCCTCGAGCGATATTGAAGGGGAGAAGTGGGGCAGTAGGGTATGGTTAGGTCGGCAAGTGGGGGTCGGCAGGCCGCAACTCCCCCGCATGGGTCCGTTGACCACCGCCCCTCAACGCGATGAGCTCGCAAGCCTTTCGAAGGCACCCCCACTGGAGGCCGCCGACTCACGAACCCCGGGCGAGCTGTCTGAGGTGGATGAGAGAGAAGATGACGAAGAAGAGGTAGGGGAAGAAGAAGAAGAAGAAGAAGAAGAGGAGGAGGAAGAGGAGGAGGAGCAATATGAGATCAAGGAAAGGGATCAATCAAAAATGCCCTTTTAACGAATAAGTTTGTTCTGCTATTATGAGGTGCCGCGCAAAGTATGTGGTAGTATGACTCTATCGTGCGCGGTTTATTTGCGTGACAGTTAGCAGACGAAGACAGTGCGTCTCTTTCTGTTGTCCTTTGTGGTGCGACCACCATTGTCATCTCCTGCGATATATTTTCTGGGAAGGGGTGGTGGAGAGGAGAGCATCTCTATGGGATGTATCTATATGTATATCTATATATAGATGTTCTTCGTAATTGCTTTTATTGCATGTTTTCTTTGAGAATGACCAACCCTTTGCCTCATGTGATGAACATGGGGAGGAGGCGTTCATTGTTCACATCATGAAAGGTGGATACTGAGCTTTTCCGCAAATGCGCCTTTTTACCTTGAGTGGTTTCTTTCCTCGATTTTACGTTAATCGTTTGCTGATTTTATTGTCTCTCAAGGCGTCAAATCGACCTTTTTTTTGTCGCTCTTCCATGAATGCGTTTGAAGTCGCATTGTTTTGATTATTGACTTTTTTGTGCTTAGACTCACATTACTACATTAGGAATGCTCTTTTCATTATCAGCAGCTTTCAATTTAACACTAAGCTCACTGGTATATGCAAAGAACGAACAAAAGAAGTTAAGCAATCTTTATTTGTGCTTGCGTTTATGATAAAACCTACTGATTACAATCTGGTCCTTCAAACAATGTCTAGTTTTTTAACATTCTCAGGCTTGGTTTATTTACCTAATCGCTTCAAACATTTGATCATTCTACTCTCTCCTCAATTTGAAAGTTCTTTAAACAACCATTTAGGCCCATTTATATTTTTAATTTTTTTCTGCGGTGGTTTAATTTTTTAGTACCTTGTTTTTGCTACAAACTAAACTTCCTAGGCGAAGAAAAAAAGGTTATAAAAGAACCTTTAACCAAGTACAACTGAAGAAGCCGAACAGCAAAGGATAATATTTATTTACACAAATGATTAATGAATTCCAGGGCACTCACAAGCGCGTCTTCAAGGTGGACCCTACTCGTGCCGATGGCCTCGAGGTGACGGCGGATATTAGTGCGCACGAGGTCTATGCCTCCTATAATAGCCCAAAGCTAAGCAAAAGTAACACTGGGCCGACACGTTTCCGTTGGCGCAAATGGGTGGAGCACGTCATGCTCCCGGCGGGGTTCCCCAACAGTACGACGCCGGACCTCGTTGAGGTCGCCAAATGGGATGCGCTGCAGACGGTTTGCAGTAGTATCGTATCAACGTTGGCCATCCGCGCGGTGCTCATAGGGGTTGGGGTTGGGGCCTCCACTGCAAGCGCTATCGGGTCTACCGCTTCGTGGATGCTGCGGGATGGAGTGTTGATGATCTCTAGCATTATTTTCTCGACGCGTGTGAGCTCCAACTTGGATTGCCGCGCCAAAACGTGGCGGCTCATCGCGGATATCAGTAATGATATCGCATTGCTTATCGAGTTGTTCTCAGCGTGGTTCAGCCGTCCTATCTTTCTTTTGCTCGTGGCCACAGCGTCGGTACTGAAGGCCCTTGTGTCTGTGGCGGGGGAAGGCACGCGTCAGGCATTGCTGCAGCACTTTGCGAAGAAAGGGAACTCCGCGGATGTTGATGCCAAGGCCCGAAATCGCAGCAACATCTCAGCCCTTCTGGGGCTTCTGCTCGGCAATATTGTATCCTATATGACCCCTCCGTCGTCGTGGAGTACCACCCTCAAGGTGTTTATTACGTTTACCATTGTTCATTTGTTGGCAAATTATATGTCGGTTCGCTCCATGATTCTAACGCACCTAAACGCCCCGCTACTGGAGTGGTGCCTCGCTCGCTTTTACGAGCATGAGATGGAGCTTGAGCGGATGGTGAAGAAAACTGACACCAAACTCCCAAGCGTTCTCAATCCTATCAATAATGAAGGAGAGAAGTTATCTCCAAGTCACTTGAATATTTCTCCTGAGTTGGCTAATAAGGAGGAAAACTTGTTTATATTACCACAAACCGACGTGCTTTCTAAGACTCTCGGATCCAATTCCCCATGTACTTTCAGACGGTTCTTGTGCGGGCGTCTTCATTTCCTTTCGGTGAGGATCTATTTTGGAGCTTCCTTTTACAAAATCTTACACAATAATGCTAACCTCTCTGTGTCTGCTAAGCATGAGATTGTTCAAAAGGTGAGCGAAAGCCTGTCAGTGTGTGGTGTGGCACTATTATTTGATGAATCTCGGCAGACATATTACGTCTTGCTTCCGGAGATCTTCACTATGAATGGACAGCCGACGAGTTGGGTATCGGTTGCTAAGCAGTTCTCCCTTTCTTTGACTTCAGACAAGGAGTCTGAGTCGTTATCGATTTCTAACCGTGATAATGGCATCCAAAGCGCACCGAATCTTTACAAAAACGAGGCTCTGCCGGAGGTTGTTTTCGAGACGATACCCCGACGCTTTCTTTGGGCATACTTCTACGCGTACAGCCACACTCGCGCGATGACTTTGCATCGTCAGGGCGGCGGCGAGACGTCCTCTGAGGGCGATGAGGAACCTAAGCGCGATGAAAAGGGTGTGGCGTGTGAGTCTGCTATCCTGGGGCGTCAGGACGACTCCACGTTGCACGTTATACAATCTCTTCGTGCTGATGGAGTGTTGGATTTGCGCCGACAGTGCTGTCGACTACCCTCAGAAGTCCAGCGGAGCGCGGATGATAAAGAAGCAACGCCAGACCAAGAATCGGATGACGACCAGTTGTATCCATTGTATCTTCGCTTTATATCAGAACTGCAACGAAACGGATGGAATATTGATCGTTTATTGGTTCCTCAACAAAGTCATACCATTGCTATTCATTACTTGTAGAATTCCTGGGGTCGAACAAAGAACTACAGTTAGTCTTCATCCATTATCTATTTAATTGCCTTAGTATAGTTTAAAAGTTATACACTTATGACAAACAATTGAGAGGAAATAATACGTGTTCATTAATTATAGAGTAATCTATATCAAGGCATTTCATCAGCCCTATATAATAGGACCTATGTGTCTATCTGTCGAAAATTTTTTTCTTAGAATGGTAGATTTTTTTTTCTCCACTAGTGTCTTAACGTCAGCCGTCCTTCAACAGGTAAAAAGGAGAGAGACAGACCATCAAAATAAACAGATAATCGAATACGAAGTGACAAAAGCTACTTTCTCGGAAAAGAGTGTATATTCATGTGTGTTTATAAACGAGCTTGTACCTAAAGTATCTTTTTTATCTTCCCTTTCTCCACTACCTCCCCTTTTCTTATTTCACTAGATAGCGCATCCGATGCGACAATTCGCATCTGTCTCTAGCGCACCGGCCTCGTTTTCATGCCCCTCCTGCCGCTTCACCACTCAATTTTGTCCGTGTTGTGGAAAGTATCTCACGGGCTCCGCACCAATCGATGCTACAAATGGTCAGTGTTTGCATAATTCCCAGAAATTGAGAGGATCACATCATGCGCATCACTTGAAGACCTCTAACTCGTCACTGTTTTCTCCTTTGCTAGCAGCGGATAAGACAGTGCGCCAATCAGGTGATAGGGCAAACGTGCGCGAGGCCTTTGGAGATTCCGCGCGGGCTTTCTCCGTCGCGGACCAGGATGTTATTGAATGGGCTCAGAAGCAGCTGCGACTTCCACGGCGACCCCTGTCCGCGTTTGAGGTATTTTGTCATGAAGCAATCACTGGGGTAGACGAACACACCAGCGGTGGTGCAGCGATGCCAGATGCTCAAGTTGATGTGTGTACTAGAAGCAGTAGCAACATGAATCGTGCCGATTTAAATCCAAGGGAGGAAGATGTCTTGCGTCAACGCCGCATCCTGGCTCAGAAATGGTTCTACGCCGACCGGCAGCTCCGGGAGGAGTGCGAGAAGCGAGCCAAGGTCTGGAGCGACCTCTGGACGAATTCTACTCATGTTCCTGTCGCAGCGGTAGACGCAGTTGGTGCGGCCACCACAATGCCGCCCTCGCAGCATTCTGCGGGCTCTACAGCGCAACATCTATCAAACGCGAGTTCTTCCCTATCACCAGACCCTCTCCTCGCGAAGAATTCAGGCGAAGGGTCACACAAAGACCAGATATCGAGCAAGAAACGGGATGCCAAGCTGAATGTGTGTGTAACGAGCTATCAATTATTTCGTGCAGCCAACAAAGGTAAATTTAGTTCGCAAATTGCCGCAGTTCAAGCATGGAGAGCGCTTAGCCCAGGTTCGAAGGCTCCCTTCGATAAAGCCGCCGCCGAATTGCGGGTTCAGAGGCTTCTTCAAGTCAGTGGGGGTACCGTCAGAGGGTAGAAAGGGTGTAAGCTGAAATGTCCCCTTACTTAGTCGATTCCATTCATTTACACTTTTCTCTTCCTATTTATTTTTATTATTTCTCCTTTTTGTCTTCCTTTTTATTGTTTTGTGCTGCTACGAGTTTGGTTGTGTTGCAAGAGGTTTAAGTAACACACCCGTCTTCCTCATTGACACTAACAAAGCTTAGACAAACACTTCAAACTCATTGGACGTTGGGTTAGGTGTTTACTCTTTTGCCATATAGACTGTTTGTAGTGAAAATTGTACTTTAGAGAGGCTGAAAGTGCTCTCCACTTTATCTCCAATCTAGAATTCACTTAGTGAAACACACGTAGAGAAGAAGGTCAACATGACGCATACCAGTATCACAACGCGTCCATCTGACGCTCCACAAGGCTATTCATCTACTGATACTGTGTTTTCACCAAATAGCTTCACTTGCTACCATGATCATGAATTCTCGGCGACAAAATCTGATGTCTTGAATCAGACTTGTTTCTACTTTGTAGTTTTTTTGCGCAATAACCCCCCCTTTTTTCATTCGAATAGAATACCCCTACAACTGCTTCACGGTGACAAAAGCCAGCAGCATCGCGATCATGCCAGCCCCGGTGACGCTCCACAAGGTGAACAAAGGAAATCTATAGCTCACAGCAGTGCTCCTAGCGAGTCCACTGCTTCCTCACACCTCAGGTCTCATGGGGGTGCGCAGAGCAATCCAAGGGCAGGGGATGGCAATCAAAAGCCTCACCAGGGTAGGGTGTGCCCACATTGTGCGTCGAATTGGTGTCAAGTTTACTACGGGGAGAGGGCACCGGACTCGTCAGGGCGAAGGGACTCCCAGGCAAGTCAGTGCTTCTCTAGCAGTGTTGGGGACTTCAACGACTACCGACTGAGCTTGGAGGAGGTGCCCCAGCAGAGCCTGCAGGCGGTGGCATTTCCTAGCGCCTTTGGGGGCAATGGTCACGAGCCACGGCCGCCCCCACCGCTGTCGTCTTCGGTGTCGTTTCTTGAGTCCGATAGCGGTGGTAATGGATATTCGAGCGGCCTCAATTCTACCTCCACGGCACCAACCTCGTGTACAGACCGCATCCAGGTGCTGAAGGAGGGGAAGTTGGGGACCTCGGATTCATCGCCTGTCGGGGCTCGGGAAGGCCCGCCGTGGAACCTGCGCGTGGAGGAGGTGCGTACGGCGAAGGGTGCGCTGCGGTACTACCGCGTCATTTTGTGCACTACCTTCACGGCACTTGTTGCCTCTCACACGAGCATGATGCACTCGTTACAGACCTTGCAAACGGCTGTGGCCCTTGTGATCACATGTCCTCCAGGAGGGGTGCATCTCCGTTTTTTGCTGAACCACTTCAACGTCCTCCGTAGTATGCTGCACCGTACCCTTGGTTTTAGTATGCACCTCGTGCAATTATATTTCGTTGAGTTTCTTTCAAACACAAACGGCAGTAGTCAACGTGAGAAGCGCAATAATGCGCTACATACGACGCGTCGCCTTGAGCGCTCGGAGGAGGCAGTAGTTACATATCATCAGCTCAAAGAGGAGCTCGGTAACGCTTTAGATATCGCGTGCCCCCTCCATTCATTTGGCTCATACGGTTTCCCCAACAGTGCCGCTGTGAGCACACAATATGGGGTGCCTTTTTTCCTTGATTGCTTGCTGATGCGAGTAAGGAAAACTACCAGTAGTGACCACACCAAGCAAACCCTTCCGAATACACCTCACCTCAGCGTCGCGGAAGGGTTACAGGCAGCTCTTGCACATGTGAATGCACTCAGCAAAGACTTTCTGAGCGCGATGGTTGCAGCACTGGTTGCCGTAGGCATCAACACGAAGCACTCTGACACTGTCGATAGGAATGCAGGATACGCAGCCTGTGGGGAGGACCCCTATGCCGCTTACTGGGACCTTCTCAAGACGACGCCACAGGAGCGGGAGGTAGAGGAGGGGACGACGACGATGTCGACACCGCCGCCAACGCCGCCACCGGCGACGGCGCCCCACAAGCCAGATGAAGGAGAAGGCGGCTACACGCTGTCTGGCCATTCTACACCTCGCATTGTCGTTTTCACGCGCGACGCAAAGCTGGCACGCAGCCTCATGTTCATCGCTGCCTTCTTTCTGCGTGTTGAGGCGTCATCGTGCGCCCTCACCGGGGATCGAAAGTCGAGAGTACCGCTTCTGGTGCGCTGCAACGACACAGCGTGGCTGGAGGCGATGCGTGAGACCTATGCTTGTGCGTTGGCCGCTAAAACCCGTACGTGTGCGTATGCCAACGTCCCCATTCAATGGGTCTGCGAGGAGTTCCAAGAGTCCTGTCTGCGCTTGTTGGCGTCCGCGTACAGTCCAGACAACGATATCGTGGTTGTGGCACCGAAACGGCTTCTCTGCTATAGGCTTAGATACGTCAAGACCCTCGAACGGACGACGATTTTCATAGAGCAGGGGGCTGATGGGGCGGTGTGTTTGCGGGGAGCAGCCAACGGCTCCGAACCCTTCCGTTGTCTTCTCAAAAAAAAATCTGTTGTAGAAGCTGATCCGGTGATCAGCGCACTACTAGACGAGGCCTTGCATCTTCATGAATGCAGCAATGGCTACATTACGGGCATTAGTGTACTAGAGTCCATTTTAGGCTGGTTACATCGGCAGAGTGAGGCGTACCGACAGCATTGTGCATTATTAGCCTTGACAGGTCAAGCGCAGCCTCCGGAGAGTCCGCTACCCTGGAGTGAAGACGTAGAGGAGGTCCAGGATGCGACGGATGAGACTCTTGGTTCGCCCACGCAAGGAGGGAGGCCCGCGACGCACCCGCACACGATCTCTCCCCCACCCGTCCGAGCCACGCAACCCCTTAGTGTTGACCGCGACGGAAGCCGCAGAAGTGCGTCGTGGGCGAATCGGCCCGGGCAAACGCTTGAGGGCCTCCTGCTGCCGGGAAGTCTCACCGAGTGCGCTAGTGGCTATGCGGAGTCCTTGCGCATCTCGAGTGGTCTGGTCTTCTCCGTCCGGTCGCCCTCCGAACGGCATGATCAAGCCACGTCCTTCTCGCCACCGTGGCGATGGAGGCGGGATAGCGGACGCGGCGGTGGATTGATCCGCTCACTTTGCTCTGCTCCTTTGCTCTTTCAGTCGCAGAAGTACCACTGGAAGGATGAGGGCGTTGAGCAAGGTTTTTTGGACCGGAATCCATCTGAAAGCCAACTTCATCGCTTTATCTTAGAAAATCATTTGGATTAAAGAGAAAAGAGATAGTACTTTGAGGGAAGGAAAGGAGAGAAAGATTTAAGCCTTGCTCGGTCACCTCCCTAATGCGTTTCATTAAATATGCAATGACGTATTTGGGAATGCATTTTGTATGTTGTAAGCTTTAGCCTCACTGAGTAGCGATGAGTTCAAGAGCACCTGTAACTATATACATATATTGGATGGAGTCATTAAACCCAGGAGAAAAAATCTTTCAAGCTTGCGTGTGTGTCATCTAGAAGATTAATCTAACTATATTGCATTCGGTAAACCGTACTAAACGACTTGCTTATCAATATTTTCTTACATTGTCTGTTTTTTATAGTTTCGGACTCAAGAGGTTTATGGGAAACCACTACCCTTTTTTGTACTTATATTTATGCACACGTGTGTACTATTTCCCTTCCCCTAGGATGTTTTGTTGACCCTTGGACAGGTTGTAAATTTATTCCCCCTCATCTTACCACCTTTTTTCGAGTATAGAGGCGTGTTTTAAAGTTTATCAAAACATCAGGTGCATAGCGAAAAAGTACAGGCAGAGGACTAATTGTAGATTTTGCTTCAGATACGCGAACTTGCGCACATTAGAGGCAACCCCACATGAGCGAAAGTATTACGAAACGAATAAAAGACAACACATATATCCTCGTTTCTTAGTCTCCTTTGTCGGCCTAATCCATAGCTCCTACACCTCCCCTCTCAAGCAATGCTCTCGAGAAGGGGTAGAAACGCTGCTGCTAGTCTTACCGCTTCATCCATCAGGCTTATCTATTCTTCAACTTTTTATCTAGCACGACGAAGCAGCATCACGACTACAAGTGGGGATAAGGATGATAATGAGGTGTACCGCTACAAAAAGGGTGATTTCTTTTTGATTCCAAAAAAGTATACCATAAATCAGCGCATTGCGGTGCGCAGCTACCTGGACCGCAATCGTACGGAGCTTTCAGATCGAACCTTCATGCCGCAGAAGGCCTGGTTTGAGCCGTACAACCTCCCGCCGCAGTTTGGGCGTGACCACGAGCGGCTCAGCTACAACTTCTACAATCTGGAGACAAAAATTATCTGGAAGGTGTTTGACACTCCCGAGCTGATCGGCATGTTACTACACGATGAGACTATCAAAGGGAATCGTCATATCTACGACGAGGCATTTCTGGACTCTGCCATCCACTTCACACGAGAGTCACGCTACTGGCGGTGCATTGGGATCACAAAGCCGTTTTACAACAAAAACACGCTTCGGGCACACTGCTGGGACGATAACGGTCTCCAGGTAGGCACTCTTGTCTTTTCACAGGCGATGCGGCACGCCCTCATGGATCTCGAACGCGCAGTGCGACGGAAAGAGCTCGGCCTTGATCCGAACTATCTGTGGGATCGATGGGGCCCTATAGGGTTTATTGACGGTTCGCAGAACGATTACTTGCCGCGCTTTGAGCACAAACCCTACATCGACCCGGACGGCGTGGATGTTACGGAACTTGATGTGATGCCTTTCAACACCCATGAGCAGATCAAGGAGCGTTATGGGGAGTTTATCTATCCTGACACCACCCCCTTTGAAGGTATCTTCATGGCGCCGAGTCATGGCTCGCTCTCGCTGGAAGATGTCCCGAACAAGGAGGCGGTTGCCTTGTACAAGGAAATGAAGGCGAGGGAGGGCATACCAGTCGTCGCCGATGCGGCGGTGATCTCATCGACCGATCTCCGCATCCTCTTCTTTATGAGCGCTGATCCTCGGTGGCTCGAAGCTGCCAAAGAGAAGCTTTCTTGGGATGAGGTATACACGGTCCTGCAACCGACTCTGAATGACTGCAACGAGAAGATTGAGGCCGCACGGATGCTCCAAAACCACCGCCACAACCCCGAGCGTGTTCGTGCCTTCTACGAGGAGAAGTGTGGCTTTCACGACTTCATGTACACACCAGATAAAACCATAACGGCGGCCGTGTTGTGCTACTTAATGGAGCTGCGCCGGCTGTGTATGGAGGTGCCCTGGGGCGCCGACCTTGCTCGCTGCCTCACTGATTTTGAGCGGCTGCAGGTTATGGGTCGTGATGCATTTGTAGTGTATCGTCTCATCGAGGATACGATTCTGGACAAGAAGCGTCGCCTGTGGGCTGCACGCTTCACGGGCGAGGCTCATGAGGAAAGCACACTGGACTACCTGCTCGAGAACTTTGGTCGCCGCCCGGAGAGGCAAAAGAACGTAGGCACGACAGGCGTTGAGTTCGATCGTGAGCAAGAACCGATCGGACGGCAAGTGCAGCGCCGTGTGATTGAGGTGGACAAGGCTAACAAGCTGTCTGAAGTGCGCCGCAGTCGAGGGAAAATGTGGTCCAAGAAAAAGAGCGTGTTTGACTCCTTGCACAGGAAGCAGCTTCAAAACTTTAGCTACGGTGTGCGATGAAGGATCATCTCTTCATTTCAATGTTGTTGTTTTTTCATAAATTGGGGCGGGAAAACTGTCGTTAGTTTTGAAGTTGCTCATGTTATGCGCTGGTCCTTCCCTTTGTATTCCCCGTTATCTACTATGTCTACAAGCTCAAACTCTTTTATTTCCTCTCTAAACTCTTTTTCTTTCCGATGTTGATGCTGATAAAACAAACTTGTAGAAACTTAGCAGTCCAAAGGAGTAGCACGTGTCTTTTCGATTAATTCCTTTGTCTATGCAGCAGCCAACGGGCCCGAGCCCCTCGGCCTCTCCTCAAAAAGAGAAATCATTACCAACCGAAAACCACCCGCATCATCTTGTCCAACAATCGGTAAAAGATAATGAACTCAAGCCAAGCAGCATGCATAGCAACAGACAAGCGCCTTCACGGCCACGGCGCGCTCGTGCTCACAGCACATGCGCGTGTCTTCCTACTTTAGTATCTTCGATTCAGATGCCAGACCCAAAGTACAGCCACACCTCTTTTTCTCCACGTAGCTTTCCACTTTTTAGCACTCGCTTACAGTCTCCAAGCATCCCTGATCCCAAAGCAAGGAATACATGTGTAGTCTTGTCTGCAGGTCGTCAAGATATCCAACGTCATCGATTGCAAATTGGTACGCAACACCTTGTCGAAGGTCGTGGGATAAAAACGCCGAGGCTACTCAAAAGCAATCAACTGCTTGAAAAGCCGCGCGTACACCATCTAGCTAAGCTTCCAGTGAGGCCGCGTGGTGCGCTTCCTATCGATAATTCATTTGCTAATGGAAAGCGGGAAGCAGTTCTTGTTGGAGAAATCTCCACTGCTCCGAGTGCCAAATCTGACCCGCATCCAGACTCAAAGAATGCGAGATGTGCGGTGTCGTCATCACCATCCAAACAAGTTGTCTCTCTTGGCTGCGCCCCGGGTGATCGCGCTGCCATCAGTAGTGCAAACATGTTTACCTCCCTTGAAGAAGTCTCCGACATGGTTTGGGCTCCGCTTGATGAGAAAGAGAAGGAATATCTTCAACAGTGCAAAGAATTACCTGATTTGTTTCGATGCATGTTCGAGGAGATGCAACGGGTTGGACCCAGCAAAATTTGTAACCGTGGCCCTTACGCCACCGCTGAATGGATGCTGGAATGGCTAACAAATGTTCAGGGGCATCGTTGTAATTCAGTTCCCGGGCTTGATGAATCGCTTAAGGACACAACAGGGTATGAGAGCGAAAGTAATTTAAGGGCGCTCGTAAATAAGGATAGTGAGGGTATTGTCGCATCAGAAGTTTTGGGTTTGAGTAGCAGCGGCGGCCTTATGGACATTCAACCCACGAATTCATCTCCCCAAGTAATAAGTGAGCCGCATCCTACTGTCAACAAAGTCGCTGTTTCTTGCTCACAAGAACTTGCTTGCACCTCTGTAACTTCAGCGGATCATTCCCCGAATTCATCAACCGTATGGAGTATTCCACCCGTAGTGGCTGCGCCAACCACGTGGCGTGGAAGGGCCTTCCCCGTGCTTATCCAGTGCCCTCCACCCGACAGCAGCGGTAGCGTAGCGGCACCAGTTACCACATCCTCCGAAGACCTAACCCCGTTCTGCACACCCAAAGAAGCTTCATACTTGCCCTTTGAGTTGCGCCCCTCGCCTAAGGGGAGCTCCAAGAGCCTTTCTGAGATGGATGATCAAAGTTTTTTGAATCGCCTACAGTGCTGCCTCAAACGCTTAGGTGAGGAAGGCACTTCCGAATCCGAGACGGAGTCATATTCTGCGTCCTTAAATGCAACCAGTACAATCCCGAGCACGTCAAGGCCCCTGCGATCTTCCATCGGGATCGATATCCTAATCTGTAGCAAGAGTACGAATCCGGACGATCCTATCGACACCGCGGACTCAAGCGTGCTAGATGCTGTCAAACAAGCACACGGTGGTGACAATCACCGGGAGCGATCGCCCCCAATGGTCCACCCCGTCCCTCTCGCCGCGGCAGGCTCGTCCTCCGGCTTGTTCTCGGTCCTTCCCCAGGCCCAACCGCCGCGGCACTCGACTGACACAATTGCGCCGGAGACGTTGAGGATGTCACCCCGAACGAAGCAGGCCGGCCCCGGCGAGTGCGGCTCCTCCAAGAGTGACGAGATTCCCGGCAGCGTGAGGTTGCGGCCGCCGCACCCCGTTCAGCTCGCCGCGTCCGCGGGCCCCAGTGCGCACGCGAAGGGCATCGCGAGTCAGCGGGCCCCTGCTCCCCCTCCTTCCCCTCCTTCACACTCCCACTAGGGTGAGCCAAGGGGAGGGGGAGGGGGGTCCTGTGACAGATCTGTGTCTTCCTCACAAGGGCAGGAAGAATGGGATGAGGAAAAGGGTCATGAGAAGAGGAGAGGAAGGACAAGGACAGCCTTTATTCCCTCCCCCCTCGGGCTACCGCCGTGGGTCTCGTTTGTTTTCTCTTTACCCCACCCGTCTAGTGTTGGGACGCGCACTCCGTATCGGATATATTGAGGTAGAGAGACGCTGATGGTGCCGTGCAGATCATCTGATAGCACGGCGTCTCTATTCCTAGGTGGCGAGATGGCGGGTAGCATCTATTGACTATCGTTTATTAGTCGCATGGTTGGCACTTTATAAATTCTCAAGGTTGAATGCCTGTCTTATCAAGACAGGTATTGGTAATATTTTCTAATCGAAAATGAAGTTTTTAGTTTAGCTTTTGCAATGATTGATGTTTACTTATTTACTCCTGTGCATGCACAACTACACTAAGAAATATCGCCTCTTCACAAACTGATTGAAAACGGAGGAAGCTCAGAAGGTTTGTAAGAAAAGGAAAGCATAAGTTATGAAGGTGTAAGCAAAGCAAGGAAAGAGTAGGAAATTTGGAAGTTGTTTTATATTTAATATCAAACGGAAGAGACTTCTTCGATGCAATAGTGAATTCGTGCGTGTCGGATTTACAACGTAATTATGCGTAATGTGATGTATTTCATGTTGTCGGCTTTGGTTTCTTACCTTATCTTAAGTACTTTTCTGTCCCTTTGAATAGTTTTTCTACACCTTTTTGAGGTTTCTGTTGTGCTCATATGCTCTTTCTCTCTCTCTCCCTTTGATATTTTTGTATTCTTTTATTTTATCTCAATTTGTCTCGTTAATTTTATTGATGTTATAGTATGCGTTAAATCAAAGTATAATGAGTTTGAATACGTTACTTAGAATACTAGTAAAAAGTAAAGCATTTGGAAGTGCAATCCTAAGTTTATATGGATTGACATTTTTTCCTGTTTTATGTAGCTCTTTATTAGTAGAAACTTTCTAAGCGGTATCGTTTTTTAAGTCTTGTACACATGCTGGAAATGGAGTTTCGAAATCTACGGGTAGTTGGTAATTTCTTTTTTTTTTTGGTGTCCAATATTCCAGCACAACTTCAAGTTCTTTTTACGATAGCGCGAAAAAGTTTTCGTATTCTTTCTCTTAATCATTCAGTTGATTTTTTTACCATCTTTCTTCTGTCGCTCAGTTCAGGGACATTTATCGTAAGAAGGTCCACACCCATTGATGTACAACTTCATGTTCATTATTGTTTCAAATCATTGTACATTTTTACTATCGCTGTTAAGGGTTATTATTCGCTGTGATCGCAAAGATGGCCTTATTTCAGATGAATATCATGTAAATGTGTTATATATCTATCTATTAATATATATATATATATTCCACAAGTATATCTGAGTTTATACTATGTTTGTTCCACTGAATTGTGTGCTTTTTGGAATTTTGTCGCTTGTCGAAGTCTAGTTATATCTCTTCCTCTTTTATCCTTGCTGGTGAATAAAGGTTTGTAGACTTTATTTTATATAAAATTGTGCTATTCAGCACGTAGGTTCACATAAGCATCGATTCCTTTTTTCAGCATTTCTCAACGCTACTAGACTTTTACTTTTCTTGTATTAAGCCCTTACGCTTTCAAACATTTATATTCTTATCTTATTTGATCCCGCTAGTCAACTTGACTAGCTAAAAAAACGAAAGCAACAACTCAAAGAAATGCAGCATCTAGATAGTCTAAATACATCTTCTGTCACTACACATCAGCAGGCCCAGTATAGGAAGTCACAAGCTTTTTGGCCTGCAAACTCCTCGACATCAAGTCCTTACAATGTGCAGCATGACCAGCATAACAGTACTATAAACACTTCAACCGATCTGTACCAGAGGTTGACAGTGCGAGCCTCGGAGGCGTCTGACCGTACGCATCAAACTGATAGCATACCACAATTTCAAGATGACAAGCAAAGGGGAGGTGAATCAGACTTCGATGTGTCCAAGGAAGCAGCCAATGTACGAACAATTACCTCAAATTCCTCTCTTTCTTCCGCGAAGGCTAAATCTTCAGCGTCATCCTACCCCTCGGCGCCACTTATGTCTACAGCTCAAGACTCAGATCAGCACGAGATCCAGACAAAGCATATTTTGAATCACGTGAACGAACTACTCAGATTTTGCCAACTGCAGCAGTCCAAGCATGTTACGAGTATTCGGCAGTGCACCTCTAGCTTATTCGTGTTGCTCTATCAACGGCTCTTTGGCTGTGCAATCGCGAACATTGAGAGCTTCCCAAACACACCTGAAAAAAAGCGTCGTAATGTAACTCTGGTGCTAGAGGAGCTTCGCAAGCGCTCCTACGCATTAGCTGATATCTCTGTCGAGCAAGTCGTAAAACTCAATGAGGACCATGTCAGTCGCCTCATTATGGTATTTGTGAGCATTGCCGATGATATGAAATACCAGCAGCAACGTACAGCCGCTGCAGAAGTTTTAGAACGTACTCCGATGCCCCAAGCACATCCAGGTTATACCGTAGCCGAAGTGGCTCCTCCAGGTGTGACGGTGGCGCCAATTGTCTACACCACTGGGGCCCCCGCAACAGCAGCAGGCCTAGAATTTAATCTGAACCAAGCGGCCCCGCTGGGAAGGGCCTTTCCTGAAGCCTCTCCGCATTTGGTTGACAATGACGTCGAGTGCCCTATGCCGGCTAGATATTTGAACCAGAATCTGCCCCCCGATGCCATATCACGCTACCCGCTTCCGTACCCAGCCCATGAGGCTCTCGAGGGAAAGGAGAGGGGCGAAAGAGGAGACTACGGAATTCAGGAGGAGATACCGTCAAGTTCCTACGAGGACATCGACTCCGCTAAGGCCGGCCCCTTGCCGTATGTGTCGGCTTCTCCGATTTCGAAGGAAAAGCTCGTCGAGACTTGGTCGCGTGAGATTGTTTCACCCCGAGTCGACCCTGCGGACTCGCCGAACAACTTTTATTTCCCAATGCGCACCAGTGGCGGTAGACTTCTTTCCAGCAGCACCGCGACACCGCTGCGGCTGAACACGTCAGATATCCGCCAGCGCTTTCGGAAACTGAGCGATGCGGTGCACGAACCAGCCCTACGACGTCCGACGCCAGGTGATACGACAGCTCCAACGGCCCTGACGCCTAGTAGCACTGCAGTTGGGACTAACTCCGCCGAGGCGTCACCGGTGCCCCTTATCGCAGGTGTGGGGCAGCGCCTTTCATCGCATTCGAAGCAAAAAAAAACGTACCCTCAAGCATCGCCCGCGACCACCACACGGCCCACCCCACTCCATACCAGCTCTGCGAAGAAACGCAATCCGGCTCGACAGCTGCCGCATCACGCAGGTCTCTCGTCCCCCAACCGCGTCGGCTCTTCGCGCCCTAACACCATCGAGCTCTCATCTCTTCCACCCGATGAGCCGCCTCTCACTCCTGCCGAGTGTCGTCTCCTGGCAAGCCACCCGTACAGCCTTTACAGTGGCAAGGATCGGGACCGCAAGATCGAGCGGCTGCGCGCGTCGCGTTTCCTGAACGAGATGCAAAGTCGTCTGCACCAGGGCATACGTCGCGACTACGAATCCCGCATGGCCGAGATGCGACAGTCCCTCAAACGCAACATATCTGCGTCACGGCGTAACATGTTGGACGGGATGCGATGGATTCGGGATGAAAACAACAAGTACCGCGATGCCTACACGACGGTGATGGAGGCAGCCGCCAACGACAGTCGGATGGCGCAGCGCATGATGTCGGACTACACCGCCAAGCTGGCGAAGCACTACTCCGACTCATTGCATGAGAGCCAGCGGATGTCCGCCTACCTGGAGGATGAGAAGGAGCGGCAGGACATGATGAATTTGGTGCAATACGCACAGATAGTGACCTCATGGCAACAGCAACTGGCCGTTTAAGTTCGTACTGTGTGGATCGCTTTTTCTCTCACTCCAACTCTGTTCAGAAGAACCGAGGGGAGGGGGGGGGGGGGCCGTGGTGTGAAGCAATTTCCACCCCAATGCGTCGGGGTAAAATGGAGCCAACAGGTGATTTTCAACGTTCTACGTATTTGACTTCACTCTTGATGTTTACGTAGCCAGATTCTGGTGTATTTTATCGAAGTAAAGCTATCAAAAAATTAGAAATAACGAGAAAATGAGAAAGTCTCTGTATCCCTTTTTCCTCATCGGTCTCGACTCTGTACTGCAATAATATATACGGCGAGAGAGACTCTGCTCTTTGTGTTGATTGCATATTGTTGCTTCTTTTCCACAGGATTTTTTTTGTACTGTCTCATTTTTTTTTTTGTGAAGGCCTCCGCCTTCTTTTTTATTACTACCCACTTGTACTATTTTATTAAATTAACACTCCTATTCAGTTCACCAGTTGTTCAGACTGTGGATTAACTACCTCTCCCATTTTGCTGAAGGACTTGAACTTGAGCTGGAACATGTGATAAAAATGGGCTTTCACATCCTATTCCTCGGTCTCTTCACCTTTCTTCTACAGAAAAGCTTAAAAAGGACTTCACTAAGAAAAGAACAACAAAAAACATAAACAGTAGATTTACGCTCTCAGGCAATGCAGCGTATTACCTCTCGAAGTCTCGTCGGTCTGGGTTCACCTGTAAGTTTCTGCCAGGTTCCGTCTTTGATTGCGTCGGTCACTCTACGACGCTTCCATTTGGGATGCCGCGTACCGCGGATTTCGATCACAGGCGTAGCAGGGCTGGCACTTCGCACAGCACAGCTTTGGTCTTCCTCGAGCACGAAGCCGGTGACGCCCCTTGACGCCTTGGATAACGGAGACAACCTCTCCGCAGTAAATGTAGAGGACTTTACATTGAACGAGGAGATTGTTCAGCGTGATCTTGACAACCTATCACAATGGAACTTATTGTCAGAGGCAATAGAGTCGGCACGTAGCGCTGAAGATTACCCTCGACTCCTGCAGGAAGTCCGAAGAGGTTTCGATATCCTCGAGAAATTAGGTCCTTTCAACGCTCCTATTCAATGTGAAGCCTTGCTCTGCATGGAGGCTGCGCAAGCGCATTATAATCTAGATCAGTATGACGACGCGTTGAAGAGCGCCGAGCGCGGAAAGGAATCGCTAACGACAAACACGAAGCCAGATCAGAGGGATATGGCCCAAGTCGGGGAAATTAACCAGTTCATCGGTTATATTTTGCTGGCCATGGGAAAGGCTAATGAGGCTCAACAGACGTTTACCGATGTGCTGCACTGGATTGACGTGGACGCCAAGTCAGCGCCGCCCATACAGGCTGTCGCTGCTGTGAACCTGCGCCGCGTGGTCCTCTGTGGTCTTGGGGAAAGCTACTGCTTGCAGGCAGAATTGCAGGAGCGGGACGGGGGAAGTATTGATGAGGCTAGGAGACTTTACGGGAAGGCACTTGACATTCTTATCGAAGGCTTAAATCAGCATATCGATGAGAGGGACTTTGAGCTCGTCAAGAGGACGCTGAAATTCATTCTGAAGTGCTTTGAAGGGTTGCGTGATGTCCAACAGGCGGTTTCAACATGCCGGAAGTACATTAGCTGGTGTAGTCGGTACGACGACAACGAGGGCGTCTTGCAGGGGAAGAAGATGCTCTCAGATTTGTGTGCTCGACACCAGATCCCAAATCCCATCGAACAGGAAAAGTCAAGGGAATCGGAAAAATCATAGGTGTTGAATTTGCGTTTTTGAGGGGAGGGGAGGGGAGGCTCCCCGACTCCGATGCGACTTGTCGACTCGTAGGATTCACCACCACCAAGACGCACGCTTCAGTTCATTTGTCTTAGTGTACTCTTATTGTTCTTGCTTTTATTTGATTGTTAAATGGGTAATATTCACAGAGATGCTAGGCAGATTTATGCGTTGGGTCCTCGCCTGCTGCTGAGAGCGTGTCTGGGAAAGACAATGGTGTAACTTCAGTCGCAAGTATCGGTATTTCTCTTAATTACAGAGTATGGGCTGAACACAAATAGCAGAGAACGTTTAAGCGCGGAAACACCTCTTGACACCTCTTCTTTCTCATTTGTCAGCCGTTGGACCCCTGTGACGGAGTTGCTCATCAACAATCGGGCCTTTCTCCCTCTCTTATCCTTCCTATAGTTCGGAGTGTCGCTGTATCGAAGGGTTACGAGTGTGGTTGTGAAAAATAAGCCCTAGGTATGCTTCTAGTTAGGGTGATGGCTTTCATCGTATTTGTATGTGGTAGCTGCTTAAAAGTTAGCTTGCCTAAGGGCGACTGCGCTAGTGTCGCAAGGATTCCTTGCCTGAAAATGTGTGTAGCACCAAAAACGCTTCTTTAACTCATCCACAAGTGCAAGGTTAGTATTACAAGTGTGATATAGCGACTACCTTGGAAGAGGAGGGCAGTTAGGAGGTGTCTAACACGCGTTTCATTTTCCTCATGGATATTACATTGCTATAGTTATTAGGCTACCGGTTCTTCATCTTTCTGTGAAATATGGTTTCGGTGTATCATGTGGAATCCTTTTGATGTTTATGGTTCCTTTGGTGTGTCGTCTAACGAATAAAATGTATTCAAACTTTTCATGTTGTGCAGCTTTCTTTGTGTCAGTTTTTGTCATTTCTAGGAAGACCTTTTTGTACTTACTAGATGAACTAAGGGAAGCTCATCAAAAAGACGCATAGAAAAGTTCACATGAGTTCCAACGACGATATGATTTGCCCTTCCGAACGGGCGTCGTGTTTAAATAGCGAATATGAAGACAAGGATTATTGTCGCTATACTGCCGAGAGATCCCGTGAGCTGTGGGAAATCAAAAAGGTCTTCAAACCCGAAGATCTACGTCATTACGGCGTACGCAGCGACAGATCTCTCATCCACTTCTTCGACCACGCGCGCTTACTAAATGCATCTTTCGGGACCTTTCCCCTTGGGTTTACCCCTGAAGTAGAAGGTATGAAAGCAGTTGTCCAGGATTTGAAGAATGCCCATGGACCAGAGACTGAAGTAAAAATTTGGAACATACCAGCGCACCTGTCTCTGGAGACGGAAGGCAGAAGATTTTCACACGAGAGCTTTCATCCTGGGCTATCGCTGCTGGACCCCATCATAAATGACACCTCCTCAGAGGGTTACGTTCCTCGACGACTGTCGATGAACGGCTCTAAGTCCGTCAAGGAGGATATGTGCCGCCTCTGGGGCACCATGCAGGAATCACCAGTCTGGGCAAAATCAACGTGTGGCGTTGTGACCATCCCACACTGGGGCACCACGGCGCTGCGGAATCGTGCTCGACAGCAGCTCCTGCTTGCAGCCTTCATGGGCCTTTTCGCAGTTCAAGTTCCCTTACCTCTACTCCACGACGAGGGTGAACCCCACCATGACGCCAACGCACACGAAGGTGACGCAAGGAGCCAGAAGGAACAGTCTCTTACCACGGCACGCAATTGGGCCCTCTTGGGCCACGTCAGGGACGAACTTGTCTCTTTTATTCAGACGTCTAATGGTGTCAAGATATGGGTTCGCTGCGACGCTTGCCAGCCAGAGCATCTCGCGCAGTACCAGCGCCTGCATCAGCTGATGTTGTACGGCTACGAGTGCGACCCGGTCTCGAAGGAGGCTATTGGACCTCATCGAGGCATCACAGTTGACAATGCCACGGAGGTTGTTTGCCGTGAGGCTATTACGAGTCTCATGCCGATGCTCTATTTCTCTGATACGCAAAAGAGCATCATCACAGCATGGCTCGGGGAGGACGTAGGTGTGTTTGAGCCACCACCTGCAGAGCAGCTGTTCCGACTCTTGCCCTCTATTAAAAAGTCTTCGAATACTAAGGCTGAGCTGTCTCATGGACAGTCGCCTGTGCGTTTTGAATCGTCTGAGTCTTGGAATAGTTACTCCATCGGTATAGCTAGCTCTAGAGATAACCATAGCGAGCATGCAAGTCGCGACATCGGAAGCGACAAGAAGGATGAAGGGGTTGACCGGCGGATTCCGGCATCAAGTCATGCTGACCCTTGCATCTCCTGCACTGAGAATAAGGTAGCAGTACAATCTGTGCTGAAGGACGACCTCCTTGCAAGGGATACTGCGCGATGGGGCGGGCTCTACCCACCTCGTGTCTCGCTCGTGACTTTTCTTCTCGAGTTGATGCGGCGTCGAGGGGCACCTCTCTTTTCCTTCCCGTTGTTTGATGACTACGCTATAATGAATTGGTTGTATTCTAGGGAGGTGGTCGATCCTACACGTGAGCAGTTCGGAGGCTATGAGGACACGCTGCAGCTGCCTCTACAGCCGCTGTCGCAACCATTGCCAAATGCCGTTTATCACATCTTCGAATGCGACTCCACCAAGTATAGTCTGTATCACGATGCTATTTTTCTGTTTTTACGAGACTGGGCTAGCCGTGACCCTGCCTTGTTTCATCACGGGCTCCTTAACAAACGTTTAATGTCATCCATCACAGTGGGCGTTGGTGCCAACGGCAACGACGTCGACCACGAGGGAGCGGTGGTGCAAGCAGGAAAGACAGTGTATATTGTACTCCTCGGCTGTGGGCGTGGTGGCATCGTGGACGAGATCATTTCTGTGGCCTCAACACTGGATCTACGCTTGCGCCTCTTCGCGATTGAAAAAAATCCACCTGCTGCTGAATTGGCGCGGCTACGCTGGCTTTGTGATCCGGTGTGGTCCCAGCAAGCGGCAACATTTGGTCATACCTTGGAGGTAATAATTGGCGACGGCCGGTACTTGTTCGAGGAGTCGGATAGTAACGAGTTGGGGGTGGGGTCGATCCAGCTTCCCGATGACTTTGGGATTTGTGACTTGCTGGTCGCAGAAATGTTGGGCAGCTTTGGCGACAACGAGCTCTCACCTGAGTGTATTGATGCCTTTTACAACCAGTTGCTGCGCCTGCAGGCGGTGAAGGGCATCACCCCCAACAAGAATCTCGTCTGCATCCCACAAAGCTACACAACATGGGTAGCGCCGTTACACTCGACGCGTATAGAACAATGTGTACTCGACACCGCGATTCGTGGCCTTACGGTGCGCCCTGAACGTTGCACCAACCGCCATGTGGCCATCTTTTCATCCCCGTTGGTGTCCAATTACTCTCGCGGCGTGTTGCTCACGTCTCCACAAGCTTGCTGGACCTTTTCCCACTTACTCCCCGCAAGCCCGAGGGCGGAGCCAGCTTGTGGTAGTTCCTATGAACGGCGCTGCACATTGCGTTTCAGAATCCCCGAGAATGCGCGTTGCAGCGGTATGGCTGGCTTCTTCAGCTGTGTGCTATACCACTCAGAGGTTGATGGGAAGGAGGTGATCATGAGCACAGAGCCACGCAGCCGAACCCCAGGCATGTACAGTTGGTTTCCAGGCTTTCTTCCTCTCGACCCTTCACTTCAGCTGCAGGCACTGGACGGTGCAAGCGAAATCGTATTCAGCTTTTACCGTCATATTGATGAGAAGGAGAGGCGAGTGTGGTACTCGTGGGGAGTTGAAGATAACAGCGGCAGCGCTCGCTGCGATTGCTCGGTTGGTCATAGTAATGATCACAAACAGATATCTGAAGGGAACACTATGAGGTTGCTTAATGAAGGAGGCTGGGCGGCGTCCATGACCTTGTAACTATCTTTTAAATGGCTGATCATTTAGATAAGTAAAGGCCAAGGAGTATTCCTTTAGAAGGATACAAGGTTACGGAATAGAGGATTGTAGTTAACAAAATGATTCGCTTTGAAATTTTATGGCTAAGCGCAAGATTCTTGGCCATGTCGCAATGATGTATATATATATATATATATATATATATATATACATACATACAAGTAC